ATCTCTAATGTGAAATAATCTGCTGACCAGCAAGCCCACCTTCTCTTTTGAGCTGGTCTTCTCCATCTTCTAGCATCCATGAAATAAAAGAGCTTGAAGAACAGGAGGCAAAAGAAGAAAGAGTAGAACAAAGGAAAGGACAGGGCTGTCTACTGTACAGCTGTTTGTTCGTTTTTCTGATCCTCCTTTCCTCCCACCCAAGAGTACTTTCATCAGCATGCTGCATATCACCATAACTGAAACAGGATTGTTTCTGGGAAACAGCCTTTTTATAATGTATCTATATAGCACTTAGTATCCTAGCACCATCCCACCTAAAAGCATCAATCAAAACAAATACTATTGCTCACAGGCAAGAGAGAAATTCAGTACTGGATTGCAAAACAGGCAGGAAACTCATTAAGATTCCCTTAAGGGCAGTAGGGGAAAAGTAACAATTCCCATTCATAGAAATGTCATCCCTAGATGTAGCACAGAGGTTACAAAGAAGTGACAGTACTGCAGAAATACCTATATAAAGAATAAATCAGATAGATGCTGGAACTGGGTTTTAAATTGCTTCAAAGAAAATAAGCTCAACATTTTAGTCTACTCCCTGCACATCCACTACCTGGAATTTATTTTGGCAGGTTTTGCTAATACTACTAGAAGAATGGGAGAAGAGAAGCAAGGATTCTCACCCTGCAGCAGTAGAACTATTTATCCGAAACTAGAAGAGCAAGAAGATTGCAAGAGAGCAAGAAGAGAGATTAGAAGAACTGCCAGGAAATACAAAGACTAGTGTAGTATTAGGGGTACAGGTCAGAAGAAAAGACTCTTAAGAGCTCTGTGCAAGGTATAAGTTGCCCTGCCTTTGACTTTACTATTCTGGATTCTGGCCTGCATGGTCTGTTCATTTCTGCTCTGAGGGTCATTTCAACTAAACATTTACAAGGTGCAATAGCAGAAGAATAAGGAGGAGGGATTTTTTTGTTTTGTGTAAACCCACACAATCAAAGTTAGGAGGGGAGGGTTAAAGGTCTGAGAATGAAAGAAAGAGGATCTGTGTGACAGGAAGGGAGCATGTGAGAGGGCGTGTGACAGTGTGTAGCAGAATGTGTGTGTGTGTAGATCTCGTTCCCTCTGAGGCCCCGGTCCAAATGTGGAGCTGAACTTTCTGCAGACTTTGTCCTGCCAAGTCATGTTCCCTTCTCACACTGCCTGACATCACCACAAATGCTCAGCTGGAAAACAGTCCGGAGCCGGACAGAGTCCGCTGCTCAAACGCCAGCCAGTGAAATGGCTGCACTCACGGCACACCCACCAGAGGGGAACCAGCAGAGCTACTGACTCCCACAGGTTATCTCCAAACACCCAGGACACCTCATTCTCATCCATCCAGATGCCCTCACAAGGCACAAAGAGACCAAGGCGTTAACAGACAAATGCTTTTTTATGGCCCAAACAGTATAGTCGAGAACAGATTAGGAAAGCCTGCACAAAAGCTCTAACAAAAATCCCCCAAAGGCGGCAGTTATGAGATTACCAATGTTTGCCATAAGCAACATACTGCCAGGAGGCCAGTCCCCTCTGAACCCCTGCGCAATCTTGCCACAAGGAGAAAGAAACCTATAGCAGAGTTCACACATGATCCATGGAAGAATTAGGAGTCAGTGGTTCTGCAAAGATTAATGCTCTGGCAGGGTCTGTATGAAGCAAGTAGGACCTGTAATACATTAAACTGTTAGAGAGCTTGGCACCTGACTTCTCAGAATTCACTACAAACCCACGATCAGTGCTGGAAAACGTTAGCACGTGTATGACTGCGTGGGCAGGCAACGGGGTTAAGCCAACAGGTATCTGGATTTCCTGTTCTGATCCTTGTATCAAGAGAAGGGTGGGGAGGGCTTGCTGTTTCTGGGACACTGCAAAAGGCACCACCCAGAGCAAATATCAGGGAGTAGCAGTTGGAGATGATACTAAAAAAAGGGAGGACAAAGTCTTCAGTGTCGCTTACTGTATTCTGCTGAGCCTTCATCCCCAACCTACTGCAGGAAGCAGTCTGAAAGTGTCCTCAAAGCGCAGGTAATAGGGGGAGCAATTCATGTTTTCCTCAAGCAACCGTTTCTCTTTTCTCCACTCCTGTTCTATTTCTAGAAGAACAAATAGCAACTTGGCAGGTTTCTGGAGCCCAAGAGAAATTTTTCTTCAGTCCCACATAACCCAGGAAGTTAACTCCTTTTCTCAGACACAGTTAGATAACAGGAGCTACATTATATGATCTAAGCTCATCAGTATTTCGTATTCTAAAACACTCTTCACAACAGAAGTCCACTCTTCCTTTGCTGAGGAAGGGACTCTGGCATCTTCCTTAAAGATCTAGCAGTGCAACTTTGCCCATCAGTGTGCCGATGGGCCAATTCCTAAATCACAGCCTTAGGACTCCCTATCCAGGCCCTGCAGATGCCCAAATCTGCATCCCTCACCAGTTACAAAGACAGAAGCTATCTGCTGGACTTCCTCCCAGCCCTTTCACAGGGACCAAAATATTATTCCTCCCCTACAGACAATGGCCAAGGGTGGGAAGCGGTCAATCAGCAGAAGACTGAAATCACAAAGCTCTCCAAGCACACAGCCACACAACCTGCCCGGCCTCGGTGGCAGTACTCATGCAAGCTGAGACACGCTGGTGAGAAGGGCCAGCCACAGGACAGTGTGAACGCGTGTGCATGCGTGTGCACACGTGCATGTCAAGGCAAGCGCAATAACAGCAAATCTCCAGGACTGTTCCAGTACAACTTCACGTGCCCACAAACACTGATGCATGCGTTCCTGCTGGTAGGTGCTCAAGAAGCTACTGCGTGTACACATCTGTCAGCCTGCCTACGTAAAACAGGGAAACTCACTGGCAGAGTAGGCGGGTTCCTATGGGGGCTGGCACATTTCTGCATGTATGTCCCCGGCAACACAGATACAACAGGCTATTTCAGAAGCCTCCCTCTTTGCCCTCGATTCATAGTAACCTTAAGTAGACTATTTATATTCTAAAAATTTTTATTTAAATAGGGGTTTACACACTTCAAAATTACACTCATTAAATGATTATTTTAGACTTTACCATAAATTGTCATTATCTTAGAAAATAAATTTAAACAAACAAACAAAACACAATCCAAGTAGCACATGGTTGCTTGGGAATGTTTAAAGAATGTAACTGCTAAACTCGAAGAAGTCATGAAGTTCATGGAACCAGAATTCATTGAAATATTAATCACATCTTTCTGAAAAGGGCAGAAAGACTAGTTTCTTCAGTTCAATCATTTAGTTTGGTTTGCTTATTTAGTTTAGTTGAGGAAAAAAAAAAAGACTAAAAGTTAGGGAGGGGATTTGTTTCTCTTTTCCAATCCATGAATGAAAACAAGACAAGGGAGGATGAGTTATTTTCCTTCAAAGATCTGGAAGGACATGATGACCAAAACCAACCAGTTCATTTTGCTAAGTACAGATAACACTGCCTGGTTAAAATAAATCAATTGGTTTTAATGGCACACACCCCAGTATGCATATTTTCTTACATATCCAGTGCTTTATTACAGTTGAACTATAAAAAGATATTTTTGCATATTTTTAATTTGACCTTTTTATTTAAATGCAGCTTTGCACTAAAGAAAAAATTGTTCATCTCGTAAATATAAATGACCATTTTCTAATGTATACATTTATTGTGACATAATAGCATAAATAAACATATGTAGATATACTGTATCATCCTGTTCAGCAAGAATTAGTAATGAATTAACCTAACCAATTAGAGTAAGTCTAGTGTTCAGGAAAATATCAAATGCAAAACAAGGCTTAAATGAATTATTTAAATCACCAACTTCAATCATGATTTAAATCAGCAAGTGGGAAGCCTTGATTTAAACCAATTAATTTTGTTTCATAGTCATGCTAGGATCTGCCAATCAACACTGTCCCTCTTTCTCGAGGCAGAGAGAGCATAAGCTCTATGTCCAGATCTTTTCAAGAAGTTTTACAAGTAGGTTTCCCATTATTTTTTTAAAACCTTAAAAAAAAAAAACTAGAAAACCTCATGTGCTGGGAGACACCTCCTCTCTTTTCAATCATCTGCTTCAGCAATCAGTCTGCTACTTGTCTAACGTCTTTTATTTACATCCCAGAGAGGTTCCTACATGTATATAACACAACTTGTCTCTGCGGCACAGCTTTGAAATCCCTTCAATCCTCTCATCCTATGAGATAGCTCTCCTACTTAATCCTGTATACACTAGTTATGGTCTGTTCAAAATGAGAATTAGATTTCTAATTCTCTGACACTGTTCTCTTCATCTCTCAATCAGCTTCTCACTAAAACAAGTTTTTTTTCCCCTTCCTTAAACAGGCAGGAAGGTTTTGGCCCTGCCCATCTCTGTACACTGTCTTAGTTAGCCTAGCCTTTGCCCTCCCCAAATAAGACACTTAAAGCTTGACAGTGTTTACATTTCAACTCACTTTATAAAACGATATGGAAATCAAGCCCATCACCTTAAGGTTTTCTTTGTGACGTTCAATAAAGCAAGCAATTTTGTCTTACCGGAAATCTGGTTTTGAGATCTCTAGATCTAAAAATGCAAGCTACACTGGCTGCAGGGGTGTCTCCTTGTTAGTGAGGGCACAAGAAAGGAATTTTTCTGTGCTCCACAAATGAAGAAAAAAAAAAAAAAAAAAGGTGTTTTGTCCCAAGCAGAAAGTCACAGAACAAAAACTGCAAAAGCAGTGCGAAAGCAACCCATCATACCACTTTTAACAGAGAAATTCATAAGATTTGCCAGAACATGGATGGCCTCTTCTAATTTAACAATATTATTCCTATCTATCAAATCAACATTTACTGCAAATACAGCTTCTAGTTGCAGTAACCACAATGAACACGTTAGGTCAAATATTATACTTACATATTAGCAGAAGTATGATCTAATAACCAAGCTTAACCTGTTTGCAGCCTACATGCAGAACTGTACCTGAGAGCAGGAAGCATTCCCATGAATTCCCTCCTAAAATGAAGTTCCTTCCAGTTGAGACAATTTCCACAGCAAAGAGAATGTCATGCTGCATTCCAAATTATACTGCGAGGAAAACAAAGTAACATATTCTACTGCAGACCAGCAGAACAATTTCTCCCAAGGAAACAAAATAATCTTTAGATGTTCAGGTTTCATCTCAATTCTGAAACACTCATTTATCTTCAAGATAGTCATATCTGTGAACTTTATTACTTGGAGGGGAAAAAAGAATTACATAAAATCAGATAAGCTTGCCTATCAACATGCAAAGACCTACAGACCTGTGACAAAGAGACTTTCACAGCAGCTGCTTCCAGAGAAGAAAGTAAGATCGTTCTTCAACATGTTCAGGACAAAGCACATTATAATCTACATTCTTCCCTGAGCAAATGGGAAGATGCTTTGTGAAAAATAGCAACAGTTAAAGACCTCAAATGCAGTATTTAAAAATTTTGAAAAATGTTAGTCTTGATAGGCATATAATCACAGACCAGATCTAATTACAAGAGACATGACTTTTGTGGTCCAAGATGATCGCTATTTCTAAAGATTGGATCGAATATTTAATAACCAAAAAAAAAAAAAACTTCATTCTGTTTACCAGAGAACGAGCACTCTAACAATTACGAGGACTATTCCCAGAGAAAACAGCTTGCTTTAAAAAGTCATCTGAACAGAGATAATAGCAATCAAATGCATTCTAGTGCACTGGAAACATGATTCTTCCTACAATATCAGTATAAGACAGCAAACTCACTTTCCTTACTTCTGCAGCTGCATGCCAGTTCATCTGCATACCGTCTGCCTCCTTGCTGCACAGCCAGCCGGTAAGGGGAACATGCTGACAAGGCCCACAGAGCTGCAGCAGCAGTAACTGGAATGGCAGTAACCTAAGGCACACAGCCAGGACGTGGCAATTCAGTGATAAAGTTTCCTGCCTCCCCCTTTTTTTTTTTTTAAAAAGGTTAGGGAATATACATATAGTTCCCTGCTACAGTACTTTTCCTCGCATCGTTTCAAAGTATAAATAGTTGTAGGTTGCCTCAGGCAGCTACAGAGCTCCTGAGTAGTCCCAGAACATCCCATATTCTGCCTTACTAGAGACTGCTTTGGGTTTATTGCCCTTTTTCTGGGAGTGGGGCGGGGTGGTGTTTTATCCCCTACTTTTCTTCTCCAACAGCCTTCTTCTGTGAAGAAGGATGCATGTGTTTAAGCAGATATGGGAAAGAAGTACTACTGAACTCAATACTATACTTCAAAAATGGATTACCTCAGAAGTCACACAGTCTGCTCCGCAAGTCTTCCAGTAGCAGGAGCCTTGTGGTAGATGTGCTATCAGTGCCGTAGCACAGAAGGGCAGCAAGGCCTAGTTCCAGCTGGTACTGGCACAATCTGTGCTGTGTCCAATGCCTTCTTTCCACAACCCAAAGGAAACAAGGGTTGAGGCTCAGTGAAACTTAACTGAAATTTTCAAGGCAGAACTCCTTCCCTCATGGGAAGGGAAGGCAATTTTTCTGTTCCTACTTCAACAGAGGGTTTATGTCTTCAGATGCCTTTATTCCATAGGCCCATAAGCTCACCAATCACTACATGAGGAAAGATGGAAGAAAAAGGAAAGAGCTGTTTTCTACTTCAAGTATAGACTTCTCCCTGACACCTGCGAAACATCAGATACTCCACACACCTCCGAATGAGCAGCAGAGTCCCTACAGACAATCATAACCTGCAGTCCTAGCCAGAAAGTGTCTGACACACACTAGTGAGCAAAACAGTTAGTCAGCAATGTGACTCAGGATTGGAGACTCCCTCAAAAAAGGCTTGGGGAGGGGGGGAGGGAAAACTGTGCCCTTAGAAAGAAAGAAAAAAAAAAAAAAGAGGAAATGTCAGGGGACAAAGTATTTCTCTCTTGCCCATGATCCCAGGTTTGCTTCTGCCCATAATGAAATACCTGTTGTAGCAGATCTGTGGACCTTAGCACAATGAATGGTAAGTCAAATATGAAAAGTCATCACCTTCCAGCACCAATGTAAGCAAAAGTTATCTTTTCACAACACCATGTAAACTGACAGTAGTGCAGATAAGCTTGTGCCCCAGAAAGCTCACCATCTAGGCTGAGAGGATGTAACAGGTGAGCGAGACAGAGAAAGGTAGAGCTGAGAGAAGGAGACAAGGAGGAAAGTTAACAAGTTGCTACACACCAAGAACATCTCTCCGTTCTGTACCCAGCAGCACCTCAGGTCACAGCAAGCAGAGCTCTTGGCTCTTTCAGCTTGCAGTAAGAGACATGAGGAACTGATATCCCCTTCCTAAACCCCTGCTTTGACTTGCTTGGTTCATCCACCTGCCGTTTCTCTGATCTCTTTAGCGCAGGGACCCCTTTCAACTGTACGACTGTGTAACACCTATCATCTTGAAAGAGCAGGCCTTTACTGTCGCCTACGGGGAAAACAAAACAAAACCAAAACAGCAAAACCCACAAGCACTCAACTTCTTTTTCAAAGCAAGAGAGAGACTCCCTATTGCCACTGGCTCACGGCAGGACGAGCGGCGGGTCTCACGGGGGCGAGGGCAACCGCAGGCGGCCGCGCAGGGCTCTGCGGCAGAAACGCGCGCGGCCGCACCCGGCACCTTCCAGGCCACCCTGCAACG